TATTTAAGTGTCAGATCCAGAGCCGTCTGCAGGGAGACAGAATAAGAGGAAAGGGAGGAAGAGGGGAGGAAGGGCTGCAACCACAGGAACTCAGAGGGCTCACAAGCCTTCCTCTCCCTCATCTCTACACACACACACACACACACACACACACACACACACAGCTGCTTGGACACACAGTGAGGAAGGCAACCAGAGGGAGACAGTGACAGGGAGGAAAAAGAGAAAACAGACTGAGGAGGAAATGAGAAAGAAACCAATGTAATTTTGCACAAAGAAAAACAAAAATCCACTGGATGTGCATCCACCTGAATGGACCAGGAGGAGTGGTGAATGCAGCAAACCAAGTTAGGGCTCAAACCTGATAAACAGAGCATCCAAATGGGGATATTGTACAGGCGCCAAGCGGGGTCGTGATCCGCTGCCTCCGAGATGTAACATCAAATCTGGACGCACACAGTGCAGAATAGATAAAATCTCATCATTGCAGTCTTAAGAACAGGAAGCTTCCCCTCCAATGTGACACACAAACACAGGAGCGCATGTGAGAATACCTCAGAGCAATTACCTGCCGGGTTCACCTCAGTGGGAAAAGGGCTGGTAAACGTAAATCAACACTTCCTCCTGGTGGATCTGACGTGAACTACAGCCACCCTGGGGCGGTCAGAAGACATCAGGACACGTTTAAATTAATAATTCCGGGTCTGGAAAAAACCTCAAACATCGCTGATGTTAAAACACTGAGTGCTCTCTTATCTAAGCTTTGGAGTTAGACCCTAAAATTTAAAAGATGGGTGATTCACTCGTATGTTGAGTTTTTTAGTGCCACTATAAAGAACATCTGCGCTGGCGTGATGAGTAACAGTTTCCCAAAGACACGCACAAGCTCAAGTTTAAGCTGAAACACTCGAGAGAGATTTGATTAATCTGCACATTAATCAGCCATGCCAGCGTTTGGGTTTTTAATCGGTCTCTCTGAATGGAGGCAAAAGAGCACTTCAGTATCATGAAGTGAAACTGATTTAAAAATATATCACTGGCTCTGCATCTTTCATCCAATTAAAAAAAATAAGTTGCCCATGTTCCAAATAATATGTTACCTTGTGAAGTGTGCTTCATGGGCCTATGCTGTAATTAAAGTAGGATCGAGTGGGATCTATTGGCAGAGATCACAATCGTGATATTTTTTTTAGAGCTGAAATTAAAAATTGTTAGGTTTGTGTTACCTTAAAATAAATAAGACTTCGCTGTCACCTGTCTAAAGTGGCATAAATCTAGAGAGGGTTTTTTTGGGGTTATTCTTATTTTCAGGAGTCAGTGTTGCTACACCTGCACACTTGGAAAAGCAACGGTATTCACCTGATCACAACGTGCATATTTCCTAATAATCAATCCATCCCTCCATTTGTCCTTATCCAGTCACGAGCCTGAACAGAGATTATCAGACCTCCCTCTCTCAGGCCTCAAGCTCTTTGTGGGGGTACTAAGGTGGTCCCAGGTCAGCCAAGAGAAGAAACATGTCCCGGATCCACCCTAGGGTTCCCCTCACAGTGGGGCATACCTGAAAAACCTCACTCACCCTGCAATAACATTTTCTTTGTAACTTTTTGGGGTGTGAGTGGTGCAGCAGCCAGCCAAGCTAGGGATTGGTTATTGTTAATGTTGATTGCAAAATTTTCAGTCTGCAAGTTCACACTCGAACGCTGAGATAACCAGGAAGCAACGATTCTTCCATCCTGCCAGCAATAAGCAGAAAAAGGACAATAAAATGTTGGAAGCCCACAAGAGCCACTCTTCCCAGTCAGGAGACGGTGTGCATCAAGTCAAAGACGAGCGAGACTTGTTTATGATTTGATTGACTTTATTTGTAAGGCACCAGAAGTCCTTCCTTACTGCAGAACATTTCATTTTATTTATAGTAAATGTTTGCTGTACGTTTTTTTTTTAGAGTTTCTTTTTCGTTTGTTTAAATGAAGCTATGATTTCAGACACAAAACATTTTTTTTTTGCCAAAGTACACACTTTTAGGTTTTACATTATACACAAAATAAGTATTTAAAAAAAGACCTTTACAAAGCTCAAAACGCTTACAATGCTTCACGCTATGAGGGCAAAGAGGCGGCACAGGAGTCAAGGGGAGTGGGTGGGAGGGAGGGAGTGTTAGGGTGGTGGGAGGGGGGAGAAAAGGAAAGGGGGATCAAAGGGTGAAAAGGTCAACATACTGCAGTTTCCCTCCCCCCTGGTGTCACATCAGTTTTGTAACACAATAGCACAAGAATCATCCAGGACAGACAAGAGAAGATGCAGCCATATACACATAAAGCTTTCTATGTATAACTGTATACAGAGGCGAGCACCTCCAACTACTTCAACAAATACATAGAATTTCATTTGTACGTCTAAAACGTCAGCCTTGCAAATCTCCCTCTAGCTCATATCGATTAATATTTAAAAACGAAGAAAAGGGGGGAGGAAAGGAACGAGTGCATCGATCACAGAAAGTTTGGATCAAACATTCTTTAAAAAGAAAAAAAAATATGTCTCCACTAGAAAGAAATCAATCTCAGTTCCCCCGCAGACATGCATTGATGTGTGTGTGTGTTCTGCTTTGTCTACACGCTCTGCATTTCACTACAACAAGTACAGTATGTATGCAACTAGATACATACAGTATGCAGCTAGATGGGAGGACGACGTGCCGCGAGCTTAATTCACAAGCAAGGTAGCATGTTAGCTTTAGTTGTAAGAACAGCAACGCATTTCATCTGGTTTAGCATCGACTACGGGATCTGTACAAGTGTTTATACACACCTTGTTTTATGTATTCACATACATACACAACAATGGGGATCATTGAAAGAGTCCTCCAGCAAATGCCATCAACAGTTTATCACTTGAACCTTTAGAAGACGGAGGCTTTTATTCTGAAAGTCCCTCATATGTATTTTCACTTTTGGATGTCAAACGTGCACGTTCGCCGATCTCTTTGAAGGGTACTTCTGCAATAAAAATGTGCTTTATCATCAAACCGGAGACCATTCTGAGCTTATTTTCCCCCAAATGAAAGGAGCAGGTTTTTTTTTTAAATACATATACAGCTCGAGATGGCTACACTCAATGAAGCCATTCAGAGATGAAAAGAGAGGAGGTCAAGACAGGTGTACGTGCTTTTAAGTGTGGTTCGACATTTTCAAAGTATACGTGGTACCTCTCAAATTGCATGTCATCTTTTTGAAAGCAGACATTTCGCCCATTCGCACTTCTGTTGCCTGACAAATCCCCGGGACAGTAAAAAGAAACTCCAATATATCCAAAAAGCAAACAAATTCAACCCAAACATGATGAAGAACGCGATGTAGTCTCTATTCTTTTTTGTTTTTTTAACTATAGACAAATTTTCAGTCCTATTTTGCATTTTTTTTGGTGTTATAAATGCGCACTGGGTATAAAAATTGGTCTACTTCCACTATTTATTAATTTGCACTGATACTTTTCACAGCAGAGATTTTGACTTGTACTAACAGGAAGAATATCTGTGTTACTGATATAAATTACAGCTCTGGTCAATTTAAATTTCCCACTAAGCAATGACAGTATGATAGCATGAACAGTACTTAACAGCTCAATGGAAGTCATTAATTCTACTATTTACACCTTACCTTACTGGGACATGTCAAAATGTCTGAAGTGAAAACCACCGAACAAAAGATACTGTCAAACTGGCTCTATACTACTTTACAAATAATAGTCTCCTAACTTACTGAGAATTTGGACTGTAATGCTATCGTTATACAAATGTTCTTAATTAAATGCAACATAAGACTTTCAGATGCTTCTAAAAGCGATCACTGATTATTCTCCTTACTAATAACATGAATTCTTGCCATGCTGGTTTAAAAAATAAATAAACAGAAGAGTTGCAGATGTGTCTTCATTTCCTGTAATGACCAATTTTAGATCACAGTAAGGAACTGTATGTAATGCAAAAGACACTCTTTAATTTTAAAAAACAAAAAACAAACAGTATTTGGTGATATTATATTATGCTCCTCTCAGATCACAACCCTATTCCAGGAAGCAGGTTTAGCTAAAATTCAGAGTTTGTTAATCCTGAGAAATCAGATAGGAAATGATCGGATTCAATTCTGATCCGATGGCAGGCCTATGGTACAAACTTTTTTCTACGATTATATAGAGCGGCCCAACATAATTTTAGTTTTATTTATTTAACCTTTATGAGACTCAATATGTCACAAGCGACCTCTGTTTCAGACAGCATCATTAAAAATGGCTGCCTACTCTGACCAGCCTCCATGAAAATACCAACTCAGAGTTGCTGATCTGCTCAGTTTACAGTTAGAGTCTGACTTTAGTAAACCTGGTTCCCAGATTAGTGACCGGCTGGTTGTTGCGTTTGCTGCGTGGCATTCAAATCACGTGTGTTGCAGAGTGCCCTCTGTTGGACAAACTATGCAACGTCAACTACTACATTTTTTGCAGACCCCCACATGGAGCAGAACTTTTTTTTCCTAAGAATTTGGTAAAAGATGCAGTGGGTATTTTAATAAAATAATCAACCACAACTTTAAAGCCATCTGCCTAACACTGAGTATGTTACCTTGCACCTCCAAAAAAGCTCCAACAGGTTGGTGCATGGAAACGAGACATCTGGGAATTGTCCTTTGGCGTCTGGCACCAGGACGGTGGTAGTAGATCCTCTGACCGGATAAAGACCTTCAGCAATGTGGCAGGGGTGCCGTTGCTCGTAATAACCTCTAAAGGAAAGCCAAACCAGAAGATTCCGCAGCTGAACTTTGTATTGCAATGAGAGCATCAATGTTGTGGTGGGCTGGCATAGTTTCGCCCAGCTTCCAGCAGACTGGAGGTCTAATCTGAAAACAACCAAGAGCGTACAGGACCTTTCTGTTTGAAGGGGGTGTTTTTGTTTAGTTTGGATTCATAGCAGCAGCTGTAGAATGCACTTGTGCTTCATCTGTGTGAATTACAGTAATGTAACTATATTCAATCATACTCAGTGCCCCATGTAGGCATTAAATCAACTGTATAATGCAGGATTAATCTGATATGTGAAAGATCTTTATGTGCAGTGAATCGTAGGGTATTTAAAAGTGAATTTACAGAGAGCCCGTGTTTTTGTTTCATGCTAGGGTGGAGTCGTTCCATTTAGAGACCAAAATAAACCAAAGCAGACAACTTTTCGAGAACTGCATCACTGCAGTAATTGATGCCACCGGTCTAGTGTCTACTGTGCGTTAAGTTTGCACACTCAGACTGGATAAATAAGCCATTCCCTTTGTGACACAGTCTGCACTCTGTCATTGTCCTTGTTCTGCACAAGCCTGAACCAAGCGAGGAGGATGCTTCAAAGACACACGCTGCCCTCTGCTGTCAAACACACAACATGCACTCTTTCTCCCCTCGGTGTCTGCTCTGATATTAGTGCACATTAAAGAGGAAAAAGATGGTGGGAGGGTGTGGACGTGAAGTGGCGTTAATTCTCTTTGCTGCACGTTGTGCTACCTCAGCTCCGTTTAATGATGCCTTTCAGTTACGGTGCTGGGTGGATTTATCCAACGCACCTCACAGGGTCGGGCAAGGATCAAACGTCGGGGGGGATTACTTATCGAGGTGGGTCTGTTATCTACTCTGACGGCTCTCAGCATTAAGTCGGATCTAAGACGCTTTTATTTTATATAAAATTAGGATTACTCACAAAATCTCTAATTTGCCCGGATGTCTTTTCATAACACCGATTCTCTTTTGAAGGCAGAGGTTTTTGATTAGAAAGTGAGTATAGCTTTTAAGCGCGCTTCTGTCTTTAGCCGGGGCATTATTTAAACAATTCTCTGATCTTTTATCAATCCAACATTTAAACTTTGAGCCCACTTTTATCTTAGAATGAATACACGCGAGGTGAAACACCATGAAATATCAACACTGCTGATCTCGGTGAGACCTTTATGTTGGGAAAATGAAGTTTTTAGGAATCCTGTGTTGCATCTGACAAGTTTTACAGCTTGCCAGCAAATTCAAGTGTTTAACAGTTTTTCTGTTAACACCTACGGAACAGTGCATTCAGTCTGACGGATCAGTCCTGTCTAACAAGGACCTATGAAAGAGGCAGAGGCAAGAGGTGGGAGGAAGACAGGGAGGAAGAGAGAGAGAGAGGCATGGAGAAGAAAGGAAAACACGGAAACGCAACAGGAATCAGAAGAGAGAGAAAAAGCAAGAGGGAGGCAGGAAGAAATAGAAAGTAGTCCTGATTTTCTTTTTAAAAAAAAGGGATAAATGTGGCTTAATCACATGCAAAAAAGAGAGAGAGAGAGAGAGAGAGCACTTGAAAATACAAGATACATAAGAGAGCGACAGTCTCATGGCTTAAAAAAAAAAAAAGATATAGAAACAACCCAACTATGGTGAATACCAGGATATAAGGTGGTATGTGCCAAAGACCTCCCAATAATGGGGTTGGCTAGGGGGTCGGAAGAGATGAAATTGAAGCCCATGTTAGGTAGTGTCAAAGAGAGGGAGACCTGGGGGAGAGGCTATAGGCCAAGTGGGCTTGAATCTAGGGATTCAGGTCTCTGGATAAAAACAGAGCTGAATAGGGCTGAAACACCATCTAATCAGACTTGTCTCCATCCTCCTCACGGTGGCTGTCGACTCCATCCCGCGATGCTTTCTCCTCCTTGGCCAGCTGGGCTTGAGACGCCAGCAGGGAAGAGAGGGAGAAGAGACCAGAGGAGGTGGTGACGGCAGGGAGGGTCGGCTGGCTCAGGCTCAGCGGCAGCGGAGTCATGGGCAGGGCCAGGCCCTGAAGCTGAGACAGCTGGTGAGCCTGGAGCTGCTGCTGCATGGAAAAGAATCAGACGCAACTTAGAGACAGTAGGATAGATCAAGCGCACAAATCACTGCAAAACACAGGACAGACCTATTATAGAACCACAGGTCATGTTTAATATATAACCCTTGAGGCACAGCGCTAATAGTTTACAGACAACAGGATAGATGGAACGCACGTATCATAGCACATGCTCAGTAGAAGATACACATAGCTTATTTATAATAGATGCAGTTTTTAAGATGTATAAAAGCCTAAGAAACAAGTGCAGACAAAGAGGTATCTGAGCACAGAACTGGAAAAAAACAATATCATGGGATCGACATGCCTTTGATTTTAAAGTACAGAGAGATACATTGTTACTGCTAGGGCTGGGCGATATATCGAGTTTTTTAAAAATATCGATATATTTTCATACGAGATATAAGATGTGACAATATCCATCCAGCTAAAAAATATCGAGATATGAATTTTGGGTCATATCGCCCAGCCCTAGTTACTGCCACGCTTCTCTTTTACACACACCCAAAAGTGAGTTCATTTTTACGGCAGCTCCCTCTGACCTCTTATAATCGACACATAACTGCCCCCACTGATCCTCTAACTTTCTACATGATGCGACTAAAGTCAAAGCAAAAGATGTCTGTGAAGGTTCTCAGTCATCCAGGTCATCGTAGTCGAAGGAGCTTGTAAAGAAAAGCGTCTGGACTTCAAGCGTCTTCAAGCAACTTAAAGAAGTCCAGACGCTTTTCTTTACAAGCTCCTTTGAAAGCAAAAGATCCACCGACAACAGAACGCCCTACCACAAACGCCAACGCAGAGCGCCACCTTCTTTATCACAAGTCGCAGACACAAAGACAAAAGCAACGCACCACCGTGAATCATCCATCACAGTGATGGAGTGGCTGGGCTAGCGAACACTAGACAATAGTGAAATGATGGAGGAGCTAGGATAGCTAACACGAGGCTGATAATGATGAAGCGTAGCTGAAGTAGTTAAAGCTGCCGATATAAAGAATATCTGCGCATAGCAGGCTAACGAGCTGGCCTGGTTTGTACAGATTTGGTATTTTAGCTAGCGAGATAACTGTGCTGTAATTGTTTCAATGGACAGGATTGTGGCTTAATCAAAGTTATCCCCTCGATGGGATGGATACCACCACTTTAAAAAGACACAAAAAGTAGTTTACTCGTGATGAAGAGTACTACACACTCCTAAGACGTAAGTGTAGAAGAGATTTTAACCCTAATAATGCCCCGAGGTTATCTCTACTTAAATCTGCACATTTAACATGAAACCTAAACAAAAACATTTCAAGGCATGGAGGCTTTAACAGAAGAATCCAGCATTTCTTTGGAGCTTAGCCACTTCTAGAAAAGTTAATTTCTTATATTCCAACTTTTGGTGCATCAGAAAAAAAAAGAAAGTCTGTGCTTTAAAAGTTTCTCTTGGACTTCATCAATATAACTCTAAAGAAACCCTTTAAAAATTAATTGTTCCCAGAGCTGCTTAAACAAAACAGTGGGAACAATTATAAATGTTTATTTTACTGTGCAGGCATACATTACCAGCGCTTGAATATAATCATGATTTATGGGTCATTTTAACGTTTTTCATTAGCAACTGGAGCTAATAAATGCTTATTTATTTTTATAATGCTCTGTTTAGGAGGAAACAGATCGGGGCAGGAAACCTTTGAGGTTTAGGGTTTTTCATTTCACACGATATAAAAAAAGCATTAAAAAAAACATTTTAGGTTTTTGAGAAAAACCCTGCGATGACACACAAAGGTTTTTATCCTCACAAACAATAAGTCAATAAATGCAAGATGTAAAAGAAAACAATAGAATTGATCGGGTTGGTCAATATTTGCACTTTTTCAGGCAGGGTTAGGGCTGCAACAACGTACCCTTATGATGGAGTTCATCTC